CCGTGGCTGCTGCATAAGCCAGAGTCCCGAGATGTCCATTTACTGTCAGGTCTTCAGCATTCCATCAGCGGCGGACGACAGACGAGCCGGCAGTGAGTGGGGGACAAACACGGCGGAGTGCCGCCGCCGCCGGACCGGCCGGCCCCGGCGCGGCGCCGTGCCTTCGAGAGGAGACAGCTCGGCTCGGCCGTGCCGGGCCGCGCCGTGGCTCCGAGATGAGACAGCGCTGCCGTGTCTCCGAGATGAGACAGCGCTGCCGGTTCCGGCGCCGGCGCCGGCAGACACATTAGCGACGCGGCCGCAGATGGATGAGGCTTATGGAGCGCGAATATTAGGTTGTCAGCGGCGGCGGGGACGGAATATTGCCGACAGCGGGTCGTGTCGCGGCAATATGTCTGCTCGGCCCGCCCGCACGGCCCCGACAAGTGTTTTAGAGAGCTGGGGTCTGTGTGCTCTGCTGAGGGAGGCAGGCAGCAGAGGCCGGCCCAGAGTCAGACAGTGGCGGGCAGCGGGGTAGGTGAGAGAAACACGGCAAAACTACCCAGCCGACCAAGACACGGACAGCCGAGTGGAAATCAGTAAAAAGGCAATAATTGCAAATGCATCGGTGAGGGACTTGTATGGCATGATAGCTAGGGATATTTTTTACATTAACCTATACCTAGGTCGGCATAAAGTCCACACCGCAAAACTATTTTTTAAATAGTGTTAACGGAGTCCTTCTGTACCTAACCCAGATTACAGTGCTCTGTCTGCCCAACCTCCTCTGCGTAGTTCTGCCTACATCCACTTGTATTGACCTCATATCAGTCGTAATAAAAAACCTCAATTTAATGAGCTGCTGCAAAATCATTGCACACCGAGGGCCGAGGCAAGGTAGCAAAATTATTTTGAAATATAATGGCATGGCAAATGATATGTAACATGCAAAGGTGTGAAATAAAAGAGGCCCATCAATTATTTTCTAATGATGGTATTATTTCCCGTGACACGATTTGGCAGTTAGAGTAGAGTTTTCGTTTCACAAGCAATTATTTACTTATTTATAAGGGTAATTCGTTATAGTTATGATAGTTTACAGGCTTAAAACAGCACACCTTGGGTATAATTTAGCTGAAAATTACGCTTTACTCAATGAATGTCAAAGTCATTCGCATGACACCATTCAACCAGCCCACCAGTGTAATGTTGGCGCACCGAAAACCAACAACTAAACTGGTTTAAATCTGGGAGCAATGGCGGTCCTATTTCCCGTCACGCAAACGGCGCACTGGTGGACTGTCGACACCCCCCCCCCCCCCCCCCCCCGAGAGGCACGGAGGGCCGGCGCCGGGGCCACCAGTAGTTGCAGGTCGTGACCGTCCAATTAGGGGCTGGTGTCGGCGGCCGGCAGAGCAGTCGGTCCGCGGGCCTCACCCAGAGAGCAGTCACCAGTCAGTCCGCGGCATCTCCCAGAGAGCAGTCAGGCCGCGGCCTCTCCCAGAGAGCACTCAGTCCGCGGGGACTCTTAGTCAGTCCGCGGCCTCTCCCAGAGAGCACAGTCCTCGGGGCCTCACAGCCAGTCCGCGGCCTCTCCCAGAGAGCAGTCAGTCTGCGGCCTCTCCCAGAGACCGTACAGTCGGCAGTGGGAACACTGGTCCCCGGCCGACCTGGGAGCCCTCCCGACCATTGGGAGCACAGAGCACCTACCAGCCGACCTGGGAGCCCTCCCGACCATTGCATTGGGAGCACAGAGCAACCGCCGGCCGACCGGTCGGAAGCCCCAACTAGCAACCATGCTCCGCAGGTATCTGTTCGCGAATTTCAAAGTCATTCATTTACTTATTATTTGAAGTGGATTCATCATCCAAATTATCTTTTATTTATCATCGTTAGACCAGCCTGAGTTTTAAAGCACTATTTTCTACTTTAATTAATGTATGGCAAATGTCAACGCTCCCTTACGTTATTATTTTACCAAGCTAAACCAATTAAACGCATCGTTTCCGGCCTAGAATACAATAACTCTACCGCGGCCTGATCCCATTACAATGGAGGCTAATTAGATACTGAATCAATTAAACGGGTCAATAAACCCCTGCTAATGCCTCTACAATGTGGCAGCTACCAAATTGAAATCGAACCAGGCATTCCTTCCACCAATTTGTTCCACACAAACTTTAAAACGGCGGCAGTGAAGCTCGACCCAACTCGAAGTGACGGGCTGGACGGTCGATCGCGTCCGTACACGGCGCTGATTGAAAGGGTCTCAGCGTCCACAGACACCCGGCCAGCCCTCACTGAGTCGCTGCAAATAGCGCAGATTCCTCACTGGATACAAAAATACAGAACCGCCAGTAATAGCACCAAACCAGTGTCGCCCCGGGTCGGACCGAAAACAACAGGCATCATTGGGATGCGAAGCAGAGAGCCAGAGAAGGCAAATTGTGTACTGTGGCGCTTAATTGCTTCGAAAGGAAACTTATCGTGGGTCGTAAAAGACGATAGGAATTGTTTATGTCGCCGTCCGGCCGAATGTTGGGCACACGTTAATTGCCAGGGCGGATAGTGGCGGCTCCGCTGCTCTGCCCAGAGCGCCGCGGCAGCTGCGTGGCTCGGCTCGGCACTGAGATCGGGCACAGTCGTGGAATCTCTGCTCTGCTGCACTCGCTACTGGGGCCCTGCAAGGAGCGACAACACCACCTACAGCTCTTACTGTGCGTGGTGCTGGTAAAAATTAGATATCTCACATGCCATATTATAATTAATGACATTACAAACTTGTATTGTGACACTTAAATTACCTCTTTCGCCCTATGACAAGCGAACGTTAATTTCCACTGACTCGCTCTCGAGAAAAGGATGTCACAGCCAGCTGACCAGCTGACCAGCTATGTCCCCGCCGTGGTAGCTCACCTGTGCCACCCGACCAATCTGATCTCCTCCCGTCCCATCCCGTGGCCGTCCCGTCCCGTCCCATTCCGATCCCGTTCCATCCCGTCCCGTCCCGTCCCGTCCCATCCTGTCCCGTCCCATCCTGTCCCATTCCATCCCATCCGGTCCCGTGCCATTCCATCTCGTCGTGTCCCCTGTCCTGCTCCCCGGGCTATTGTCAGACCAGCGGGTGTGATACGGACCGGTCAGCCCGCCTTCCGGTGCCCCCCCCCCCCCGCCATCGGATGTCTCAGCCCATTATCGCCGCCATCCGGGCGTCATCAGCGTCACAGCGGCGGGCGGCGCGCGTGACACCACCTGTTGGTCGCCAGTGCAGCAGCGAGCGAGCCTGCAGGCGGCCAAATCCTACGGAACCTCGGCAGCTCAACACGGTTTTATGGGCTTATGGTAGGATAATTGTGATAGAGCTGTAAGCCACATGATAATTGAAACTCAACACCTCACATACGAATGTTGCACAAAAATAATTCAATTCATACATCAGCAAGAATGTTACCTTGATTCAATACAATTAAAGAATAATAGCTATAGCATTGACGTCGCACAGGTTGACGGCACTTATGTGCCTTGACCATCTCGTCAGTCATGTCTCTCATAACAGTGCTGAGAACAGTTCAGCTACATTAAACTCTGCCTGAACGGAAATCTTGAAAGGCACGACTTCAACACAAAACTGTTTGGTAAGACGAATTGAGGAGAACTTAATTTCGAAAGCACATCATTAAATTATTTGGGCAGCATTATGTCGAAGTCGGAAAATGGCTAAAGATAGATTCTTAGCAAGCGCTGCTATCATGTGAGGGTGAAATGATATCCGAAACTGACTCCCAATTTCCAGCACCGGAAAAGTCGGAGCTCATTGCTCCAAATTATTTTCATCAGCGACCGAGACATCTCGCTATCGCGATGTTTGGTGTGTCTACTTTATTTTGTGTCGTTACGTGACAGAGATGGGGCAGCGCCCACGCCACACTGTGTCCTTAAAAACGGGTGAGACGGCACACTGTGTCCTAAAAAAACGGGGAGACAGCACACTGTGACCCTTTATAACGGGGAGACGGCACACTGTGTGAAGATGTGACGATATCCTGTGACGATGTGACGATGTGACGGCTTCCGGCCAGCGGCGGTGGACGGGCGGGGCTGGCGACGGAAGCTGACAGTGACTGGTGTGTACCCGGGCTACATATCAGTGTATTTCCGCGTGTCTGGCACCGAGGAGAGCCCGCAGAATATGTAACGGCCGGCCGGGTAGACAGCCGGCCGGCCGGCGGACCGGGAAAAGCGGCTCCGAGACGCGCCGGGCCGGCCGACGCGGCGGTACAGAATAAATACCGCACTGAGGCGAACCGACGCGGCGGTACAGAATACCGCACTGAGGCGAACCGAACCAGTGGCATGGCAAACCGGACCAGTGGTACAGAGGGCCGAACCCGTGGCACAGAGGACCGAAATGGTGACATAGCAAGCCGAACTGGTGCTATAGCGAACTTAACCAGCCCCCATAAACGAAGGAGCCTTGAGACGACTTCCATTCAAATCGTTCGTCCGCTAGCGACTTATCTTTGTGGAATTCTAATAAACCTTTTATGAAATCAATCTCAAGCAAACCAACCTACGGAACTAATGGAAGGGACAAATAAACTAGCTTGTTAGCATTAAGCTGAATCGCAGTGGGTGTGTTTTTGGCCGGAAGGGTGCAACGAGATGCATTTGATCGTTTGCGCACAACGGTTTGCACATTCAAAACTTCAGAGTAATCTCGCAACGATCACCCCGGAACTAGCCTGATTCGAGTTCAGTGAGACGAAATAAAGGTCTGCCGAGTGGATGGAAACTAACAAAGGGTTTCTGTTTGCACGCTTGAGCTCTGGAGCCGAAACCATTGTCAAGTTTGGGCTGCTCTGTTCCTGGGCTGCGTAGCTGGATTGTGCCTGTGGCCTTGCGCCACTGCCGAACGCTACGGGGAGGGCTTCCAGAGAGGCTGGCGCTGTCTCAGGTGTTTGCCTGTCGTGTCTGAGATATGCGCGTGTGAGATGTGTTTGCGCCGGCTGCGCTCAGCTCACCTGACGAGGGTCGGTCCGAGTAGCGCGTGCAGTACACCCAGGCCGGCCACCGACTGTTGTTGGACGGGTCGGCGCCGGGCGCGGCCGGCGTACCGGGCGTACCGGGCGCCCCGGCCGGCGGAGAGCTCACTGACTTGGCCCGCGGACTGCCGCCCCCTCTGCGCAGGTCGACCGGCTCAGACCGCTCATGGCCGGCCGCCGCCGCAGCCGCCGCCGCCGCTGCCGCTGCCGCCGCTGCCGCCGCCGCCTGGAAAGCTCTGAGCTGCGCCAGGCCCGGCGCCAGGCTGAAGTCCGGCCGCAGGATGTTGTCGATGGAGAAGTTGAGGCGCGAGTTGATGAGCGGCTGCTGGTGAGCCGGCGGCGGCGGAGGGGGGCTGGCGCTCCGCCGGCGCGGCGGGCGCTCGGCCGCCGCCGCCGCCGCCGGCCGCGGCTCGTCGGGCGCCGGCCGCACCGCCGTGCTCGCCTTCCGGCGGTCGAGCGGCGGCGGCGCGCGCGCCTCCAGCAGCTTGGCGTGGTTCTCGACGATGCGCTGGATGCTGGCCAGGATGCTGAGGCTGGTGTCGGCCGGCCGCGGCCCCTCCCCGGCCGACTCGCCGCCCTCCTTGGACGCCTCGTCGTGCTCGGCGTCGCGGCTGGACTCGCCGGTCGAGTCGACCCGCTCGGGCTCGTCGGCCGCGCTGGGCCGCAGCACGTCGGCGATCATGAACGAGCTGCGTTTGCGGCCGGCGGGCGAGTCGGCGGCGCGTGCGGCCGGCTCGGCGGCCGAGTCCGAGTCGGTGGCGGCCGGCTCTGCCGGCGAGCCGGGGCTGCCGGCCGGCTCGCCCTCCTGTTCCTCCGAGGCACTCATGTCGCGCCGGTCAGCGACGGTCAGCGCCGCCGGCCATGGGCGCCGCCGCCCGTCACAGGTCAGTCACTGTCGCGCTCACAGGCCGGTCACAGTCGCAGTCACAGTCCGCCGCCGCACCGCTCGCCCGGCCCAGTTTCGCTCGCGACCGCCCGCCGCCTGCTCCGGTCACTGTGTTCGCTCGCCTGCGCTCGCGCCGTGCCGACTGCCGGGCGGCGGAGATCAGCTGGACGACCACCCAGGCCGACCTACCACAGCCAGCCCGCTAATAGCTCCATTATTGGCGCCACTGGCGGCATATAAAACAATAATCCCCGCCGAACCAGTCCGCAATCGAGACCGGATCGCCGCCGCGCCGCGGCCGCCGGCGCCCCGCCCACCGGGCCGGGCTCATTACAGGCGGCCAATGAGAGCGCGCGTAACATCGCCGAGCGGCCCGGGGCGGGCCGCTGATTGGCTGCGCCGGGAGCGGCGGCCGGCCGCTCGTCAGCAGCCGGTAATAGAGTTCCGAGCCCGAGACCACGGTGCTACATTAGACAGCTTATTTGTGGCATAATGGCGTGGAAATATGCAAGCTTGCACCATGAATGCGGCTCGATGGAGTTGCTAGCCGCACTGACACCTCGTCAATGGGCGTGCTGCCGCGCTGCGGGCGGGGGCGGGGCGGGGGTGACCGGCCGCTAGTGCCGTCCAGCGGTTACCCCGGCGTTACACTGCCGAGCGGCTGGGTGGTGCTCTGTTTGTTTGTGCGCTGAGCAGTGAGCACTCCCTGCTGCGCTGCCGGTCCCGGAGGTTATCCAGGTTAAGAGCCGCAGGGACGCGAGAGGCCCCGCGCCTGGTGGGACGGCAGACGCGGCCGCGGTGACCGGTGGGTGACCGCCCACTGCACCTGGTGAGTGGTGGGACACCCGACAGACGCGGCCGGTGGGTCCTGTGACCGCCCTCTGCACTGGTGGGAGACGGCCGGCCGGAGTGGCTGCTGGGTCTGCCAGACAGCCCAGTGGTGTGAAACTGACAGTGAGGGGCTCACTGTGGACGGAACGGCCCGCTGTGGACGGAACGAGCTCACTGTGGACGGAACGGCTCACTGTGGACGGAACGGCCCGCTGTGGACGGAACGAGCTCACTGCCCGACCGCTCACTAACCTAGCCGCCCGACCGCCAGTGCAACACACTTCATAACACACGACACGACCACCCGCCGGACGTTCTGTTCGTCAATCCAGAAAAGATAGACACGTGAAATACCCACCTACAACAACTATACCTGAAATACCTACACTGTTTGGTACCCTTAAACTTAATAGAGGTTTAAGTATACGCTAACCTACCTTTATTCCACAGGAATGCATTCAAACGTAGCCAACAGTCTGGTCTGGCGTTGGTGCGGGGCTGGACGGACAACGTGTCACAGCGAAAGTGCGGGGCAATATGAATGCAGCCATCTCAAAACGATTGTGATTATTCAATGTGATGACTGCAAGTTGCATAGTAAGCCGGCCTATTCACATAGAGCTGCAAATAGGACGGGATTCAGCTAAGAAACTTCAGCCAGGCGATGAACGTGCATGCAGAATATTATGTTATAACTGTCCACAGCGCCGTTGACTGTGGCGAAGAGCAGCAAACTGACAGAGCCCCAGAGTCGCATGGCTGCTATTAACACATCATATGATTTCTGTAAATACCCTTCCTACCTACCTTATACCTAACTCTACCTACCGGCTACCTACTCACCCTTTACCCACCTGCAGATGACTTTACCGGACAAAATGATTCTTTAGAGTTTAGATGGACAGGATAGACATATTTGTGCAATCATATGTGTGATCGTATGTGATCATACTGCTTGAATTACACACTAAGGATATTTAATGCCTATTCCTATTTTTGCTCTCCTTTGCCGGTCAGTCTCTGTTTGTTTCAGAGTTGGTTAGGCTCGCCGCTGGCGTAAAATTCACCGTCAGGTTCGCAGCACCCTCCGTCATCGGTCTCCGACGCTCCGAGCTATTGCGAAATCTCGGGGCGCTGCCTGCTGGCGAGTGGGCAGTTCCCGATCGATTACCGCTCGTTCTGATTAACAAAGCTGCTGCGATGTGTGAACACCACTCGGCAGCGCTACCGGAGCACTGGGCGCCGCCGCAGCCGGCGGGCGGTGCACCGGTGCACAATGCACGCGCCGGCCGCGAGCACCGGGTGCACAGTGCACAGAGAGCGGTGCACAGAGGGGGCGAGTGTGCACGGCAGACAGGGCGAGGCAGGCTGTGTGTACCTAATGTGTGTACCTACTGTCAATATATGTGGCGGCACATCTTCAATATAGCAGAAAGCTCCAAAACAAAAATATATAGCAGCAATCAACTGTAGGTACTTGAGACTCAACTTTGAGATAGAATGTTTGCATAAGGGTGCTCAATTACATATGTAGATCACGGTGCGCTGTTATTTATTGCAGATTTTATGTGTCCTTATGACGTTTGTCGCAAGTGCAGCCGTGTTGTGAAAATTTGACTGCAGCATTTGTTTAACGTTCGTCACATGAAACAGCATGCCAACTGCGAGCCCCTCTGACATGTTGACCCGTCCATTTTTCGCTTTTCTGACATAAAACCGTCACCGAACAAAAGCTGCTGACGGCTGCTGTCGGTCCACGAGCTAATTAGCCGTCAAAACAAGTTTTTATCATAGGGATGATTCAGTAAGAGGTAACAACATCGAGGTCTGAGTAATGAGAAAACAAAAGCATTTTTAATACAGCATTGGTGATCAGCCAACAGCACTCGAGGCGGGTCGGTTTGTTCCACCTGATAAGGCAGGTACAGGTCTCGCGGGTTTTAGCGGTAGGTTTTGCACCTAGAAAATTTAGTGTACTTCAGGCTATATCTTCGTCGTCTTGAGCTTTTAAGTGTTGAAGATGCGATCGACTTGTTGGGGAACAAGCCGGCCATGATCGTGTAAAATGGCTTCATCGTAGATCGATTAGTTTCTGAGATATAACCGGAAATGTAAAAGTGCAAAACCTACTGCTTAATCTCGCGAGACCTGTACATACACACATCCCGCCTCCCCGGCCACACCTGAGTCGGCAGCCCCGCGACAGGGCTCTGACCGCTACCGGCCGGACATCACTGCACCCCCCCCCCCCGAACCCAGACCCCCTCCAGGTGCTGCAATCTCGGCTCAGCTGATTAGCTGGGTGAATAAATCATCAAAGGACCTTCAAAGGACGGCCACCGCCCGGCTCACCCGCCTGTGGCTGCCCTGCACTGCGAGCACAGCCGTGTTCCATGGAACACACCCGAGATGGGCTCCATCGGACAGCGAGGGCCGGAGGGGGCTCTGAGACCGCCGAACTCCGTCCGCTGGGACCTGCGGACAGTGTCCGCCCGGACCTCCGGACAGTGTCCTCTGGGACCTGCGGACAGTGTCCGCCCGGTCCGCCGAACTCCGTCCGCTGGGACCTGCGGACAGTGTCCGCCCGGTCCGCCGGACAGTGTGCGCCCGGTCCGCCGGACAGTGTCCGCTGGGACCTCCGGACAGTGTCCGCCCGGTCCGCCGGACAGTGTCCGCCCGGGCCGCCGGACAGTGTCCGCCCGGTCCGCCGGACAGTGTCGGCTGGGACCGCCGGACAGTATCCGCTGGGACCTGCGGACAGTGTCCGCCCGGGCCGCCAGACAGTGTCCGCGCTCAGCGGGCGGCCGCTCGCGGTGAGCTAATGAGTCGTAACTCCGGCGCTCTGCGGGGTGTCGGTCAGGTCTGAGCGGCGCCCCAGCCGGCGCCCGCGGCTCCGAGTGGCGCCCATAGCGCCCAGCGCCGCGCCGCAGACCACCATAGCTGCAAATGGCCTATAAACGCTAAACGGCTCCGTGTACAGCTGCCGGCAGGTAATGGTGCTGAGAGGGGCGGTGGCTGCCGCCGGGCAGCAGTCAGTGCCGACAGTTAGTGGTGACGACGCCGATCCCTGGACAGTGGACAGGTCAAACAGCAGTGTGGTCTCACACTGGCGGTAGCGGCGGCGGTGGCGGCGGCGGCGGCGGCGGCGGCGGCGGCGGTCTCACCGACTCACAGCGGCGGCCGCTGCTGCCGGCCCAGTCGGCCGGGGTGGTCCGGGCCCGGCGCGACACTGATTGATTTACGAGTGAGCGGTGCCGACACCGACACCAGCCGGCCTGTCCGCCAGCCACCCCCTCCCCTTCTCCCCCACCGCCGGAGCCGCGACACGGCGTCCTGCTGCCGCTGCGTCAGCATCAGCAGGTTACAGGTCACTGGTGTTTGGAGTTTTGTCTACTAGATACATGGCGCCTCTAAAGCTTATCTCTGCGAGAATCTCCGCAAAGGGGCATATTAACAGGCCGCTACACTGAGCATTAATATATTGACGAAATAACGCTTTCTTATGTTCATAGCACTGAGGATGTAGAACGATGGAAGAGTGATCGGCAGATTGCTATGAATTCGCCTTAACGGTTAAAAGCTCAACTAGGAAGCACGGAAAGGACCTCGGCCATTACTGACTAGTGATGTCCTATGAACGATCGAACTGCTGAGAATATATCATATATCATATATTTAGGTATATATATGTTACGGGCCAAGTGCGAAGGCTAGTCCGTTTGCGAACGGACTAGTCCATTCGCGAATGGACTAGGCCGTTTGCGAATGGCGGTCCGTTTGCAAACGGACTAGTCCGTTTGCGAATGGCCGGCCATTCGCGAATGGCCTAGGCCGTTTGCGAACGGACGGGTTTGTGGCGTTGCACTTAGCCGCCGGAAGCATGGATCCTCGGATTGGGGTACGATTCCGAATGAATGGGGGACCGCTGGTCGATGCAGGGGCGTCGCCGACGGGGGGGGGTCGGAGGGGTCCGGACCCCCCCCCCCCCCCCACACACACACACACACATTCTTGAAAATATGCCGGTCTGACGCCCCCCCCCCTCCCCCCCCCCACACACACACACTTTTGGCCACGAAAATCGATTAAGAATAAAATATGATATTTTAAAAACGATTTTGGTGCATTCTCAAAATAAAATTGTCTAAATCCGAGGAGTTTTCAGTATTTGGTGGGGATTACTTTGACTGACCGTCCGACCAGATCCACTAGTCGAAAATCCGTGGCGACGCCACTGCGTCTACCTATATGTTTAGTTTGTTCTCCGGAGCAGATCTGCGAGCTGGCGCAACTCTGGGTTAAGGTCTCCACACACCTGGTCCATTCGGGATGCGACTTTCCGCTGAACCCTGCACAACGCGGAAATTATAGCAACGTGTTGCCGCTGGCCAGGCTTCGGCCACCGATCT